CCCCCCCCCGAAATTAGATTGCGTAAGGCGCCAAGAGACGTCGGAGAGAGGCCTGGAATAAAACGAGAAAAAGTCATTATACTCTTGTCATGTTGCCACGACTATTTGGACCATTGGAAACCATTAAATATCAAAGGTAAATAGTACACTGTCATCGTCATAGTGCACCGCACAAATTCTACGCACGAATTTTGGAAGAGACGAGGGAGACGTACATTGGAACCTTGTACGTACGTGTATTATGTATATATCGGTACCAATGGAAATAACTGCAAATAACTGAGATACATCGCGAGATACTCGATACTTTGGAACGATAATTTTTCATCAATTCCCGTTACACACTGTCGTATCGCCGCCAATGTAACGAACAATCGATATCGAGAAAAGAAAGAAAAAGAAACACGAGCCGCGTTATTATATCTGCTCGTAAACCAAGTATTTTCAGGCTCATCGGAGCTTTGATGCATTCGAAGTATTGGATGCTGGTGGATTATTTCGTGTGAAATCACTTCTTCAGCAAGTGATACAAAAGATTTGTCGAATCGAAAGACGAAGAGGGCGCGCGAAGCCAATTCCTAGAAACAAAAAGTCGAAAATTCTTTGTTCCAAGTGTTAAATTAATCCAGCCATGAGAAATTAATGTCGCAATTCGTATCAATCTTCTGCATTTCTACAGTCGTGTGGGATCGTGAAAGCTTCCAGACAAACCGACCGATCGATGCACCGAATTTTCTCATCTTTCACAGACAGGGACTGAAAGAAACATGCGTACCTTGATGACGCCCACCGCCACAGTCTGACGCATGTCGCGAACGGCGAAGCGTCCCAGGGGCGGGAATTCCTGGAAAGCCTCGACGCACATCGGCTTGGTCGGCTGCAGCATCACGATCGCAGCGTCGCCGCTCTTGATGCTCTTCGGATTCTCCTCGGTGGTTTTCCCGGTACGGCGGTCGCACTTCTCCTTGATCTCGGCGAACTTGCAGGCGATATGAGCGGTATGGCAGTCGAGTACCGGCGTGTACCCGTTGCTGATCTGTCCGGGATGGTTGAGGACTATTACCTGCGCGGTGAAGTCGGCGGCCCCTCGCGGCGGCTGATTCTTCGAATCGCCCGCCACGTAGCCACGCCTCAGCTCCTTCACCGAGATGTTCTTGACGTTGAAGCCGACGTTGTCGCCGGGCAATGCCTCCGTCAACGCCTCGTGGTGCATCTCCACCGATTTCACCTCGGTGGTCAGCGCCGCTGGGGCGAACGTCACCAGCATACCTGCGGACAGAGTAGTCTCGTGTTATTTTCACATACATGTGTAATGATAATCTCGAACTCTGCTAGTTGGAGTTAGTCTCTGCTTATATATGTATATATATTCGTACCTGGTTTCAAAATTCCGGTCTCGACGCGACCGACCGGCACGGTGCCGATGCCACCGATCTTGTAAACGTCCTGAAGCGGCAGACGGAGAGCCTTGTCGGTGGGTCTGGAGGGCGGCAGTATAGCGTCAAGGGCTTCGATCAGGGTCTTGCCGTCGGCGTTGCCGTCTTTGCGCTCCACTTTCCACCCCTTGTACCACGGTGTCTTTGGCGACGGTTCCAGCATGTTGTCACCGTGCCAGCCAGAGATCGGGACGAACGCCACCGAGGCGGTGTTGTAGCCGATCTTCTTGATGTACGACGACACCTCCTTCTTGATCTCCTCGAAACGGGACTCGGAGTACGGCGGGTCGGTCATGTCCATCTTGTTCACGCCGACGATCAGCTGCTTCACGCCGAGGGTGAACGCCAGAAGCGCGTGTTCGCGCGTTTGACCGTTCTTCGAGATGCCGGCCTCGAACTCGCCGATACCGGCCGCCACTATCAACACGGCGCAATCCGCCTGACTCGTGCCGGTGATCATGTTCTTGATGAAGTCGCGATGGCCAGGCGCGTCGATGATGGTCACGTAGTACTTGGCTGTCTCGAACTTCCACAGGGCGATATCGATCGTGATGCCCCGCTCGCGTTCCGCCTTCAACTTGTCCAACACCCAGGCGTACTTGAACGAACCCTTGCCCATCTCCTGCGCCTCCTTCTCGAACTTCTCGATCGTTCGCTTGTCGATGCCGCCGCACTTGTAGATCAGGTGGCCGGTGGTCGTCGACTTGCCGGAGTCGACGTGCCCGATCACCACGATGTTTATATGAATCTTCTCCTTACCCATGTCGACGCTCTAGATTTACCTGCAACATTCGCCAGACACTGGCGTGAATGCTCGGCTTCCCTCTATCGATCTCCTCCGAGTCGTTCTCCGCTCGACTCGTT